TGTGTATATATATATATATATATATACATATATATATATATATATTCCCTGGTTCACGACAGTGACAGGGACACGGCCACCGTGTGAGGGGGAGAAAGAGGGAAGGCTAAGAAACGGGAGGAGAGAGAGAGAGGGAGGGAGAGGGAGATAGATAGTGACCAAGTGCGACGAAATATAGTTTTTCCGAGGGAGGAACCGTTCAAGGGAGGAAATCGAGAGAAATCTGGGAACCAGACACCCGGCGTTGGAGACACACGGATTGATCCAGACGTCCCGCCGCGCGGATTTAGTGTCCCGTTTCGACCCTTACCGACATTTCGAACGAGGAGGAAGCGGAGGAGGAGGGACGATCATGGACATATCGGAAGATTGTTGGGAGCACGTGGGACTGCTTCAAGAGGTCTCCGCCGCGGAACCACCCCCGCCACCACCCGCTCCCGACTTCCTAATTCAGCAACAGGAGGTGAGCAGCCCGTTTTTTCCTTTCTTCCTCGTGGTCGAGCATTCTTCGATCGAGATACGAATCGAGAAAAAAGCGCGGGAGATCGGACAGGTTTGTAGTTTTTTACACAAAGTGTCGGTGTAAACGTCCGTTTTATACTTTTATCGTTATTTTCTTTTTTTTTTATTGTTCGTGGAAAAATATATGTGTGTGGTTATTAAGATAATATTACAAGGAGACATGGTGTAATTATTGCTTAATTGCTCGAGATAGAGGGATACGTATAATTGACATTGCTAGTTATCGTAAGTGACGTAAGATTTTAAATTTTGTACTTATCAGTCGTTACTTACTAGCGCGATACCGCTAGAGATTCTTGTGCTTAAGTGGGATAGGAACAAAAAAAAAAAAAAAAAAAAAAAAGAATCAAAAGTAGGCTAGTTGTGTGGTAGATAAAAGAAATCGGTTGATCGTTTGATTTTTCTTTGGAACATGGTGTTTAAATTAACTGGAACTTGTACATTTAATAAAGCTAAAGTATTTAAAGTAATTTATATGCACGTACCTCGCGCAGGTGGACTACACATTGTCGCTGGCACGTTATCGTAATAACGCGTACGAGGTGCGCCGGTTTTGTTTCGTTGGAAACAAGAACGTGGACATTCCATAAAGCGATCGTTTCAAAAATGGTTGTCGAAATTGGTGAAAACAACGATAGCGTGAATTAATTTAATAATCATCGGGATGTATATCGATAGCACGTCGGTGAAATTGATATTTCATACGGAATGGGATCGATGAAAAAAAATCGTTTCGAACGATTCTATTCTCGGGCGGGAGAATGTTTCGTACAACTTGCCACTTCGTTAACGAATTTCAATTGTAGATATGAAATCAAATCTCTGTTACCCTCTAATTGATGCATTACGAATTAAAAGCGCGCGGTGCACGCGATCATCTAGTATTATATAGCTTTTATCGCGATATTTCGATGGCATCGACACGCTGCACTTTTCTCTCCAACAATTTCCCCAACGACATCGAATCACTTTTATCGAATTAATCGCCCGATATATAACCTCTTCCAGTTTCACGCCAATTATTCCCAACCGCGCATCAAAATTTCCTTGAATTACACATTTCAAATTTCCAAGCGTATCGAAATTCCTCTGTACTTATTATTTTAAACGTATCTTAACAAAAGGACGTGAAATTTGTTTCTCCATTTTCCGTTTCTCTCTCGAGAGAACGACAGTTGGCGAAAAATGGAAGAAGAAGCCCCGAACATTTGAAAAAATTTATGACGTATTGTTACCGTGTGAAACTAGTCGCCTCGATGGTGGGGACAACTGCCTAACACGCATCCGCAAGAAGCGGCCGCGCGCATATAACGAATTAAATACCTCTAATTCTCTGCCCTTCTAAAAGCATCGTGTATCCAAGCTGGAGACGTGACACGACTTCGAAGTCGAAAGAACCGCAGCTGTCCCTCCCGTTCTCTCCATTTCTCTGTTTGCTTAACCAGAGCAGCCGGTAATAATCGTGCGTTCGATCGGTAAAGAAGAATTTAGACATCATTATGAGTGCGTTCGGTGAGGAACGGTGACGGAGTTGACCCGTGGGTCCTGATCTAAGGGAACGGAAGTGCACTCATTCCGTTTCAATTTCGGGGTAACGAGCCTCTCTCGCGGTTGAACGGGTTCATAGAGGGCGTCGATGCCCTGTAATCATCCCGGAAATTATAGGCATTTATCCGCGGCCGAATGAACGAACGGATAGGAAAGTTTATAAGAAGATATCGGTGGCATCGAGGCGCGTCAGAGGCGCGTGCAGGGTCCCCTTTGGAGAACTCTCGCCCCTTCTGCCAATTTCTAGAGGCACCTGCAGCTGTACAAGACTCGATCGAGAGGCCCAGATTTCACTCCTTTTTCTTCTTCGTTATTTTTTTTTTTTTTTAATCCTTTTTTGGGGGTACGTGTGCGTGCACATGGGCGAAATTCTGGGACACGAACTATGTATCGAGGCTCGGTTAATTCTTCCTTCCCGACGGTAATAACTGCGCCAACATAAGTTGCAATCAGCTGTCCGTGCGTATGGGTGTGTACATTACGCGGCACGCATACTCGCGTGTGCATTATTATGATAAACGATTATATTATATAGGGTGTTCCAATTTTTACGCGCAAAGTTTACGTAAATATTCTTGTAAATAATAATTATACGAAGGAAATATTTCAGCAAAGATTTTTAATCGTAGATCGTGCGAACATTATCATATCGTATAGGGTGTTTCACTTTTTAAGCGCTAAGAAAATTTTTCAATAGATTTAAATTTCTGTATATTAGTGAATTGATCGAATAGAACAAGTACGAGATTCTTAATCGTAGAAACAATTTCCACGGTTGTTCGTTATCTTGTAACGTATCTGCCTACAAGTGACAAGTGGAAAAAGAAAGCAAGAGTGATAAATAAATTTTAAAATTAAGGAGGCGCGCTTTTAAAAAATACATTTTCCTAACTTTTAGAGTTGCTGGACAGGCTCGGTTGAAAAAATTCATCGTTGCTTATACGCGACGTCGAGCGTGAAAGAGAAACTGTACACCCTGTATACACGTATGGATGTACACTCGGCGCCGCGTAGAATTCTCGAGAGCCGCTGCCGTTATTATTATTAAATTGCTTCCTTAGTGCACGCGAAGAATTATAAACAACCGATACACAGCCTTGCGGCGTTGTTACTCTTCCTCCCGGCTGATTTTAATACGTTTCGCAAGATTAAAACATTAAGTGTTCTTCCTCGTACCAGATTTGATTGTAAAAATTAACAATTGTTATTTTACGCGAGGAATGGAGTCGAACGAGTTTGGGGATAATTTCACGAACGAAAAATATCTGAATCTAAATAGAATTATTTATAATAATAACGCGTCGTGTAATTAAATTTAGGTTTGTTTAGAGAGGACGAAGTGTTGTATCTGTCTGCAATTTTAAGAAGATTAAATTTAAAATAAAGATAGGGCTCGAGTTAGAAAGCTTGCCTCGAAAAATATTTCTCAACATTTCGTTCGGATAAATTAAATTAGTTAGTTAGAAATAAAATTGAGGAAGATTCATTGAGAAATACAGACTCGCGAATGCTTTATTACTATATATTCAAAACCCGTTTAAACAAGTAAATAAAATTGAGAGATTGGATATCATTAATCGTGTTTTCCGTTCGAGTAATTAAAAATATTAAATCATCGCCATATATAAAATTATTGTTCTACAATCGTTGCATCTTTATTTGCCTCGTTCAAGTTCGTTTAAATTAAATTTTAGAATTTTACGTAAAAAATTTAAATTCGTTAAATAATAATTTAGAGACAGTGATTATTTCATTGATTCATTCGTTCGACCCTTCAATTTATTACGCTATTTTTGTACAATCAATTCGTAGAGCGGAAATTATAATCTTTGATCATGACGAAATTAAATTTTTTAAAAAATACTATTATATTTATAACGTTGAATTAAAAAAGAAGGGGGACAAGGTGAAAAAAAAAAGGAGAGAGGAGAAAACGCAGAAAACGAGGAAGGAATACGAAAATCGAGGATCGAACTCGTGTTCACCTATGCTCGAGTAATGAGTCCCGATATTCCCACACGGGCCCATTCTGGCCCGCCGTGGGAAACTCATACGTGAGCCGTGAGTCCCTCCGCCTCTCGGCTATTTCCGATTTATTTTACTTTTTTCTAAAAAGAAATCGACATTTCTCTACTTGTACTCCTACTAAAATCAATTTTTTCTTTAACGATATTTTCCACGAATCATAGTTTTAAAAGAAATGGAAGAATACGGGCATAATTATTATTTGTCGTAAATTTAATTTTGGAAACTTTTTTTTCACCGTAACGAGAATTATTTTAAATTATTTTGATAAAATTTATCTTTAAACAGTTTCGTCAAAAACGCTTATTTTTCGAAAAAATCTTGGAGAGAGAAAAATTCGTCCACGATTTTTCGATTCGAAGTTTTAAGGATAAGCATTTCCGAAAAAAGTGAACTCTTATCGGGAGAAGAAGAAGAAGAAGAAGAAGAAAAAAATACACAGAGCACGTAGCAACTTCGTGAGAGAACTCGGCCGATTCGTACGATAACGACGGCGTACGAGCTGCTTCCGAATTGCTTCCTTTGCTCGGTGCACGCTCGTCGTGAAAATTGAAATGAGAAGTGGAACGAGGCCTGCCTCCTTTCGCACGTCCGTGGAATTCCACCGACGATCCCAAGACGGATTGCAAAGAGCGCCCTCTGTCCCGATGCAAACCGATCGCGCCTAAGATATTCTGTTCCTCGCTGAATCGGAATGCGACGCGCGCCAATCCACCGTGTCCGCGATTGTCGGGGAAAATGAGAGGGGCGATAATAAATGCGGCGAGCCTTCCAAGATTCTAAAAGAATCGCCCCGTTTTAATAATCGGACGATGGAGATTTTTTATTTTTCGCCGCCTGAACTCGAGAAAGTCGTCACTCACTGTCGAAAAAAAGAACTTTTCGCGTTTCTCCTTTTGTTCCTCGAAATAATGCCCGCTCACTGCCATCTCACTTGCTGGGATCGATCGTAATGAAGCCTACTCGGGGATGGAGTTTTATCGATATACAATTATCTGCTTTACTTAAGGAAAAATTAATTTGTAAAATCGTAAGAAATATTTTCCTCGTGTCATTTATGAGTTCGTTTATCATTTTCTTTCTCTCTCTCTCTCTCTGGGCGACAATTATTTTTCCCTTAATGCCGTCCCTAAATATCCCCGAGGTCGCTTTATGTCCTCTCTTCCCCCCCCCCTCCCCCGTTAGAACTCGGGGTACCACTCGACGATACGAGTCCAGATTCGAGCGTAAACCGACGACCAAGATTCCCGGTGAAATTTATTAGCTAGCCGTAAATTATGGGACGGGGTACACCTGTGCTTTACCACCACGTTCGGACTTGTCTCGGGCCCGATCACCTCGCCGAAGCGTCTCTTTATAGCGGCCGAG